TTGAGCTACCCGGGGTGGGGCATTCCAGAAGTCATCGTGCGATCGTATAGACGGCCTTGTCTTCCGCGTGAAGAGGCTTGCCGAAGGAGCCGCAGGAGAGACGGCACGCAAGGCGATGGGATAATGTAGGGAGCCGGCTTCTTATGGAGAAAATTCAGCTGTAAGTGGACAAGGGGTTGTTGTAAATTTTATTCGTATGTGAGATATTCAACTTCCTCGGTCTGTACAAACCCGATTATTGATACGCGACAGAGGCATCCGGTCGGGGAGATGTCCTTCGCGGAGGAGTAGATTTAAAGATAAGGCAGCGACCAAAAAAGCGCCATGAAAAAAAGAATGCTGTCATGCTATACATAGAATCGGCAAAGGAGGTAGAACGCGAGCGTGCACGCGGCAATCGTCGGCACCGGGGGCGTGCCAAGGGAGAGAAAGGAAGCATGATGATTGTTCATTGTCAAGAACTTAAGTTTTCCGTGCATTGCACCGCCAGGAGCATTAAGTCTTCGCACTCTGGTTACTTGTCTGCCTCATTCCCGTCTTCAAGCCCTCACGCGCCTCTGCACCGCCTCGAGCGTGTGGCCCTCAGGGACGATACCCACGTCATTCCCTGCCTTTGCTTCTCCTGCATTCCACCTTTGCGCTAGACTGTAGCGGAGCCCTTGCTGTATCGAGGCAGATCGCCGCAGGTCATATGCGGGCGAGGGGGGGGACAACAGTGAAAGCTTCGCTTATTCGTAGGCTTCCCATAAACTCTTACTCGCTCGTGATACCCATGACGGCCCCGCCCCCGGCACCACCCGATGCTTCGCGCGTCTCTCGGGCCCCGTGCGGACGCGCGTCGGCGCCTAACTGCTCCCTGTGCTTGCCTCGATCCCCCCGCCAACGTCCTCCGCCCTTCCCTCCCTCCGGCCCACCATCCCCACCCTTCTCACTCCTCTCTTGTCGCCGCGGCTTCCTCCCCGACCCGCCTTTTCCTCCCTGTTGAACGTCTCTCTTTCCCTTTCCCCCCTCCTGCTGGGCCCGTCGCGGCCTGTCAGCCTTCGGCTGCCTCCGTGGCTTGTCAGAGGAGGGAGGGCCGGAAGCCAGCAGCCCCCGAGGGGTCTTGGCACGCAGATAGTCCTCAAGAGGTCGGGCCACTGCCGCGATATCCAGCCCGTGCTGGCGACAAAATGCTCGGACGGCCTGGCCAAGCCGCTGCCCCTCTCGCAGCTCTAGCGTCTCGATCTGTGATGGCGTGAGTTCGATCTTAAAAATCAGGATTACTGGGGCCTCCCGCTGTCGCTCCCCTTCCTGATCCTCTTGCTGCTTGCCGTTGGTCAAATCACTAGGATCGACCGGGTCGCCACTTCCCGGCTGAGTTCTGGCCAACTCCTTCTTCTTCTTTTTTTGCTGCTTCCCCTTCTTCTTATTGCCAGCTCCAGGCAACTCAGCACTTCTTTTCTCGCTTTCTGTGTTGTGGTTGTTTTTCTCGTTGCCGGGCAGACATGGCGGTGTCTCGACCATGGCCATGGTCTCTCCTTCCCCTATGGGACGTATCTCGGGCAGCACTTCACCCGGCGACACGGAGGAGGAGGAAGACGGGGGCGCTGTGTCCATTTGCCTTTCTTTGTTTTCTGAAGACACAGCTGAGGTGGGTGCAGAGCTTGCTACAGGCTCGGTGGCTACATTTGACGGAGTAGCTTTCGGCTTCTTAGATGCTGCCGGCATAGGCGGCGGCCGGGAAACATTGTCATTAGGAGTTCTGTCTGACGCCACGTGCGGTTTGCTGGAGGAGGGTATCGCCTGAGAAGGGTTTGGCGTTCGCGGGGCAGAGGATGCAGTTGGAGCACCTGGTTTCGAAGAAGGAATCGTCTGCTGCGGCAGACCTTTATCGGACCCTGAATGTGGAGGGCGAGTTGTGTAGGCAGGCCAAGGGTCAAACAGGGAACTGACATGCAGTTGTCTGGCTTCGTAGGGCTTCTATTAACCCCCTGGAAAAAAAGATCGTAACTTACCTTTACTCCTGCTCCTGTTTTTGGAATCACTCTGACCCATACTCAAATATACAACAGCTGAATAGGAGATCGCTCTGCGGAAACAAAACGGAAGAAAAAATAGCTGGAATGACGCAGCGGTCTTCGTCCGTCGACTGTAACAAGACACGGCGTCCCAAACGACCTGTATGTGCAGGAACTGTCATAAGTGACCAATTGTGCAGGATAAATGGAAGAGCTGAGAAAATCGTGCCTGTCATCGCAGCATTGCCGCAATCGGTGCCTTCACCTCGGGGTGCTGCGGCGGTGACAAGCGAAGGGTCGCATTCTATCACACAAATGACATCGGGGGCGGATTCCATCACATGGATGGTGCTGGGTTCCTATTCCATCACATGGATGACGCGAGCAGGAATCTCTTCGCCGTGGCATCGCCCACTTTGGCGCAATGCGGGGCCTGTCTGCGGGCTCCTGTCTCCAAAATTTCCATACAATTCGCGCGCACTCACACTCGAAATACTATCTAGACACATAGAGATGTGAAGAATGCGGTCAATGTTGTAGCAAAATAAAATTCATGGGGATGGAGTCGCCGCTGCTGGAACCTGTGCCTGTCCCGCTTCCTACATCAACTGGAGCTCCCCTGAGTAGCAAAGAACTGTCTCCAGTCTCAGCATGTGAAGCACGGGGAGTAAAACGTGGTCGAAATGATGGAGCGACCAGAGACACTGCGGCTTGCAGCAAGGTCATCCACCCCTCTAGCCTCCGCCTACCAACTCCCTCTGATGCACCGCCCGTCCACGATGAGACCCTTACTGAACCCCGCAGCGACCAAAAAGGCTTACTCATGGACGACTGCACATTGCAATGCGAGAATACACTACATAGTAAGAGAGCCGAAATTTTGCAGGGAAATAAGCCGGGGAAAATTGACCGGCTAGAGGAAAAGGGCACGAGTATCACCATCTTGGGGCCCTTGACAGAGGGATCGGATCATGAAAGGGCGAATGACTTTTCCCTACCGCACGCAGACACTCCTGGCTCAGATGGACCCCGTCGATATGTATCTCAGCGCGCTCGGGAAAGGCTCGTTCAAGGCAGTTTACAGCACACAGCAATCACCGTCTTTTCCGTTGAAGCACGTTCAGCACACCCACCCGAGAAGCCCCCCGACCAAAACGCTACTAACCTTCCTTCTGCCCAAGGCCCTGTCCTTCCATCTTCCCCTCCCAATCAATCTTGTCGTCTCTCTCCTCCTCGAGACGGGAACATTCCCCTTGCGTTCGTCCCTGTATTCCCACCCCGGCCGGCACCTGCTGCTTGTCTATCCGCTCCTTCTATCCCGCCATCCTCTTCCGAGACATTGCCCCCCACCCTTCATCTTCCCGGCTTTGAACGTAAAACGGTGTCAGAGACCCGTCCCGTTCCCAAAGATCCCAATGATGGCTCCTTGCGCGTGAAGCTTGGTCCTTCCGCGCCTGCTCCCCCCCCCTACAGACCCACACGAACACGGCGACACGAGCCCACGCAACCACCATCAGCGCTTGCGTCCTCCATCTCAAGACAGCGGGGACAAGATAATGTCTCTGGTCCCAAGTTATTGGCGCAGGAGTCATCAAGGGCGTCGGCGGTAGGCCAAAAGCAAGGACAGCAAACTTATCTGTTGCCGTCCGCACCACCTCCAGTAACTACAACAGTGACGACGACAAGGACAAAGTTGTCTCCAAAAATCTCAACAACAGCGCCTCAAGAAACCTGTGGTGATAACGAAGACTGGGGAGGTCCTGCAGCGGCATTCAACGCGGCGGCGATTCGTGGAATATCCAGACAAGGAGAAGGGAGAGGGGGCAAGAACGGAGAGCCCGGCGGGGGGGGACCAAGGCGACCAGTGGAGGGTCTGGGCATCTGGCGACGTGGAAGAGGAGATCCGCGGAAAGTAGGAAGGGGCGTGGGCCACAGGAAAGGCGTGCTCGGCAATGTGGAGGCCAATCGCGGGTCTGTGAAGGGGCCCGCTGGCCGAGGGCGGGGGGGACGGGGCAATGCGATGACGTACTTGGCGTTGAACGGGGAGAGGTTGCAGGGCCCCGCCGCCATGGAGCGACATCGACAAGACACGGCTAAGATCCAGCAAGGATTGACCTTCACAGCCCAACGCAGTGCCCTTCGAGCGGCCTTGCTCGCGCGACAACCGACGGCAGTGGGTGAAGGTGGCGTGGACGGGAGCAGCCACGGGGGTGTCCCCATACCTCCAGGCAGGGCCTCGACAGAGGAGACTGATGCCAAGAATCTTTTGAGCTACCCGGGGTGGGGCATTCCAGAAGTCATCGTGCGATCGTATGAGGAGCTGGGCGTCCGTCGGCTTTTCCCCTGGCAGGTTGCGTGCCTGGAGGCAGGCCAGGGGAGGGTGCTACGCGAGGGACGGAATCTGGTCTACAGCGCCCCGACAAGCGGTGGGAAAACCCTAGTGGCGGAGCTGTTGATGTTGCGGGCATTGACGCACGCCGTAGAGGGCGGCACGGCCTTGTTTGTGGTGCCTTTCGTCGCCTTGGCCGAGGAGAAGGCCGGCTACTTCCGTCGAGTGTGGGCGGGCGTGGATCTGGGCGTGAAGGCCTTCCACTCGGACGCCGTGGACGCGACCCTCTCAGAGGACGTGCACGTGGCTGTTTGCACCATCGAACGCGCCAATGCCCTGGTAAACCGCTTGCTGGAACGCGGAGAACTGGCGCGGGTGAAGGTCGTGGTCGTGGACGAGCTGCACATGGTGGGGGACGCGGGGAGGGGCTTCTTGATCGAGGTCATGCTGAGCAAGGTGCGTTTGGCCGCGTCGCTCTGGTCACAGGCTTCCCTTATGGCCTCTGACCATGCTACTGGGAACGCTGTGAGATTGGACCCTGCGGCCGAAGTGAACGACCAGCGAGGCGGCGCGACGGTCGACTGCACTACCCGAAAGAATGCGGCTCGAGTGCAAATTATCGGCCTGAGTGCCACCCTCCCCAACCTCCCTCAGGTCGCTGCCTGGCTGGACGCCCATCTCTACGTCACCGACTTCCGCCCTGTCCAGCTCTCTCTGCTGCTTTGTGCCGGCAAGCGCCTCGAGCGACTCCGTAGAGCTCCTCCTCCCAACCCCTCGAAGGCCTCCTCCGCCTCTGCCTCTCTTTCAGCGTGGGAGCCCCTTCGCGAACTACCCTCCACCATTTCGGACGAAACTCAAGCCGTGCTCCACTTGTGCTTGGAATCCGTGTCGCAGGGCCACGGCGTACTCGTGTTCTGTACCTCCCGCGCCTGGACTCAACGCTGTGCCAAAAGCATTGCCCGCGCCTTTGCGGCCTGCCTCGGTCCTTGGACTGAGGCCGTCAAGGTCCAGGAAGGGAGAAATGAGCTGCTGGCTCGGCTGCGCTTGACGTCGGTAGGCCTGGCGAAGGAGCTGGAAGAGAGCGTGAAGCATGGGGTCGCGTTCCATCACGCCGGATTGACCATGGAAGAGCGAACGCTCTTGGAAGGAGGCTTCAAGACTGGGGTGTTGTCGACACTCGTGGCAACCAGCACCTTGGCCGCAGGGGTCAACCTCCCGGCTCGTCGTGTGATCGTCAGGAGCCGTATAGGCTTCGACGGCCAGGAAATGAGCGTTGCACAGTTCCAGCAAATGTGCGGGCGGGCGGGCAGGTTTGGCATCGACGAGACGGGGGAAGCCATTCTGATGACACGAGAGGCGGATGTCCAAGCAGCCCGGGCGTTTGCTGCCAGATGCCTGCCCCCCATGATGAGCGCCTTGCATGTGGGTGAGGGAGGAGGGGTAGAACGAGCTCTGCTGGAGGTGGTTATGGGAAGACTGGCGGGCTGTAAGGAGGAGGAAGGGGGAGAGGGATGGCTGGAGACATTCGCTCGATGTACCCTGTATGCTGTGCAGGCTCACGAGGAGGAAGGCAAGGAAGAGAACGGAGAGGGCTTGGGGGTAGAAGGGCAGGCATGCAAGGTGCTCCAGCGCTTTCGCCGGGGCCTGGACTATCTCGTGCAGAATCGGTACATAGGGCGCCGAAGCATTGCAGCCGTAAAGGAAGTGAGCGGCAGCACGGTGCGAGACGGAGAGACTAGTGGAGGGTCGATAGTAGGACCGGACGAAAGCCATCTGGATCCCGAGAGGGGCGGGGGGCAAGGCATCCTCCAAGGGGCGAACGCAGCAGTCGATGGCACACGACCGGTTCCGGCGGCCACGAGAGAGCACGCTGGTGGAGCAGGCCCGTCCCTGCCCACGGCAAGACCCAAAACTTGTTATTTTGGGACCCAGCTGGGAGCTGCCACCTTTTTTGCAGGCATGTCCCCCCGGGACGCGACCGCCATGCTCGCCTCCCTCTCTCAGGCGACCACCAAGGGGGTCATCCTCTCGAGTGACCTGCACTTGCTCTTCCTGTGCGTGCCCCCCAACCGCCGGTACTTTACGCCAGACTGGCATGACTTGGCACGTCGGTCTCAACGCTGGGCTCCCGAAGTTGCCTCTGTCGCGGCAGCGATCGGCGTGAGCGAAAGCGCCATAGAACGAGTAGTCAGGCCCCGCAGCACAGGTGGGAGGAGAAATGGAGGGCTAGGCGAAAGGGGCGATGGGCTCGGTAACGACAAAAGCGTTGGAGGGCAGGAGGTGAGCTTGTTGCGCCGTTTTGTGTACAGCCTGGTCCTGCACGACATGCTTCAAGAGGTGCCTCTGCTGCAACTGGAAACGGGGGGGGTGGGGAGGGGAACGTTACAAGCCCTGCAAAGCGAGGCGAGGATCTTCTGTGGGATGATCGTCGTGTTTTGTAAGCACCTGCAATGGGTGACGTTGGCGAGGCTCATTGAGGGCTTGAGCCTGCGCTTGGAGCACCGGGTGGGGGAAGATCTGCTGCCCTTGTGCCGAATGGGCCCGGAGCTCGTCCATGCCGCCAGGGCCAGGGCGCTCTTCGAGGCGGGCTTCCAGGCGCCCGAGGACGTTGCGGCTGCACGTGTGGAAGACGTCGCTGCCGTGTTGCTCACAAGTATGCCCTTCGCAGCCGAGCATGACAGCGCAAAACCGCGGCAGGGTCCAAAAGACGGTGGAAGGCAAGGAGGGGGCGATAAGAGGGTGGCCAGACGGATCGCCGACCTGATCGTGCGCAAGGCGCAAGAGGTTGCGAGGCAAAAAGTAAATCCCTGAAAATAAAGCGTTCACCACTGACCAAAATAATGAAATAGGCTCGTGTGCTGGATGATCATGTGAGCCGTGTGAATAGATGTGGGTCGACAAAAAGGGATGTGAAATAGAACAATGGATCGTACGTAGACTTGGCCCTGTAAAAGGAAAATTCCGTGCACACAAAATAAGTCGACCAATGCCCAGTGCACATGCTACAGCTCTTTGGTAGAGCCGCCTATGACGCTTTTTTTTTGGGTGGACGGCCATAAGCTTCTCCGAGACCTTCGCTCCCTTTCCCCCTCTCTTTCCATTGCTTCCCCTCGTCCTTGGAATTCCCTAGCAGGCGCCTAGCGGTCACAGAGCTTGCTCCTCCCAACCTTTCAGCATGCGCCGTGTCAATTTGGGCCTCGAACTGCTTCGGTATCGCCGGCCTTTCCGCTGGCAGGATCGGCGCGGCTGTACTCGAATTGGTACTGCCCGTACCAACGCTGTCGATCGAAAATTCCTGCTCCGTTTGACATCCTTGAATAGCAGGGTTCCAGCTGTATGCCAGATCGCAGACAAAAACGGAGCCCTCTCTGGGAAGCAGCACATCCTCGCGGGGATACATGCGCCAGCGTCCACATGCCTCGCACTCCAGCCATCCAAACACCTCGCCTTCCAGGAAATCCTGAAAGGCCTCGGCAGCTCCTCTGTCCCTGGCTGCGAAGCATTCATAAGCCGCCTTGTTCCACATGGACCAGCTTTCACGTACGACCGCGCCGAAGTTACCGGCAAGCCTGCGACCTTTCCGCTCGAAGAAGATCACAGAGTCATGGGCCAGCGGGTCGAAACCCAGTGATCGACGGAGAGATTCGGCGGTCGGAAGCGGGATACGCGCGTGGTCGACCAGTATGGCCATGAATAGCCCTTCCTCCGTTTTCACCTTCCCGCCTGTTTTGTGTATCCAGTTGCGGGATAAGAGAGGAGCACGAAAGCCCTCGGCGCCTCCCGGTAAGGCAACGGTTAGCGGTGCGTCTGCGACGGCGCGCGGTGGATGAGCCCCTCGATCGTGAAGAAAGCTATTAGGTGCACTGATATTGGACGTGCTGTGTTTGGACTGATTCTTTGATGGAGAAGGTGTTTGGGACGTAAGTGTTGTAGGCGCAGGCGAGGGCTGGGGCGGAGGGGGTGGGGAAGGCCCCCGGATGAAAAGCGCATGATGGAGGGTTGTCTTCTTCCTGGGAGGACCGGGTGTATCTGTCTGTTTGTCGTCAAGATTTGATGTGCTTGACGTGGACGGCATAGACCAACTCTGTCCACACTGACTATGAGGTAACGTGGGGAATTATCTCCCGGGGTCAAAGCTGGAAACGGGGAGGTTGAGCTTACTGACCATGTGCAAAGACAAAAGGGGCACCACGCATACACATTGTTTGCCACGATCCCCTCCCGAAGTCGATTAATACAAATAAATACGGATCACGTAATTTTTACACACTTCTGTCGCGCTCGAACAAGTTCCAAGCGCTCTTTAGAAGACAGATCTCTTGGTACTCGCCAACGGCGTAGCTCCTGCCGCTTAATTTTTTTAGGATTATCATGTCCTCCCAGGCGCCACAAAAATCGTGTGTGCGTGTGACTAGCAGGCGTAACGAAATGTGGTTTGACATATTCGTGTTTATGCTACGATCACCTCCTCACTATAACCCTTTCCTCCCTTGTTTAACTCAATTTATTCCAGCAGGAACGTCAGAGTCTGAAGAGCAGGCGCAAAAACGGCTCATACGCTTGCCACTTCCGCAACATACCCTTGAAACACTTGTATGCGCCTTTGTTTCCTCTCCTTTTCTTCCATCTTCCGTGTTCGATCACTGCGCAACGGGAAGCTAGCATCGGTTTTGGTGATAGGAGGCTTGAGTAGCGTATCTTCCGGGACTGGAATGGCAGCACGCGAGATTAACACAACGGGTGCTTCCTGTGCCGGATCGTCTTCCACGCGCATTGCCTGCTCCACCCCAACCTCCAGTCCGTCCTCGCACTCGACGCATCACTCCTATCGGCCTCGCGACGGTCTCTACACCGCCCCCCCATCCTCCTTCAAACTACAGCAAGTGGTGATCATCGCCCGGCACGGAGACAGGGCCCCGATAGCGCGCAACGTCGGGCAGGCAGTGCAGGATAGTCCGGAGACCCAGGCTCTCTGGCTCTCCAAATTGCCGTCTTCGCAGGAGGTAGAGGCGTGGACCTCCGCCTTTCCCCTCGCGGACCCCAGCCTCCGGCCCGTCGACTACGACGAGCATCCTTACGCGCAGCTCACCCGCAAAGGCGCGCAGGAGCTCCAGGCCCTGGGGAGGCACCTGCGAAAACGCTACGTGACGGACTTGAAGTGGCTCCCGGCCAGCTT